TCCCTTTTGATTTTCTAATGTCCCTTTTGATTTATTTGACCCATTGAGGATTGTGTAGCATGTTGTTTCCTTCTGATAAGTACATTTTTAATTGAAATGTAATGTAAAATAATATATCAGACAGTATCACACTCTGTAAATTTAAGTTTTTCATGTGTAGTATTGTGCTTCAATCGTTCAAGGCTATACTGGTGTAATACGAAATATATTTCTCACCATGGGCTGAATTTCAAAAATATGTGAAAACCACAAGTTATTCTTAGTCAATGCTTTTGCCTTTGAAATGTGTTCACCAAGTTGCCACTTTCTTGTAATGTGGTCATCACACAAACCAGCCTGTAAGAAGAAAGGTCTTATTTCCTACTGTGCTTGCATGTGTGCATGCATGCGTGTGTGTGTGTGTTTATGTGCATGTGAGAGGGGGGAGGGAGAGAGGGCGGGGTGGGATACTCTCTTCTATGCCATGCTGTAGTTGCCCACTGCTCCTTGGCCACAGGCCTAAAATAGAAATCTCAGCCAAAATGCACCAGAATGCATTATTCAAATAGAATTTGGGGATTGGGTAACCTTGAGTAAATGTTGACAATAAGGTGAAAGCGAGAGGAGACTCAGATGCCAGAGAGTGCAGGACAACTCGGGTTATTCAAATGCATCACAGATGTGCTAGATTCACCCTTATCAGAAGCCCTCCATTATCTCTTTCTCAGAACTCTTTCTTTCATCATCTACACCCCTAACTCTTAATGCCTCTCCTCTTAAGAACTAAACGCTTTCTCCCTCTCTATTCCTATGCAGTGTGAATGAGGCATTGGGGCTCCAGGACCTGCAGGCTGTGATCAGAACACATAGAAAGCAAATTGTTACCCCTGTACTGTCTCTTTCTTCTCACTTTTGGTTTGTGGAGTCTCTCCCATCACTTCATTCCCACATTCAGTTCTTCCTTCTACTCCTCCTCATTATTTGTCTCACTGGCAGATGGAGGGAGTAAGTCTTGAAGATCACCTGACAACAGAGTAAAGGGTTTGCCAAAAATATAAGAAAAAAATGGTGATACAGCAGAGGTTAGAATTTCAGATGCCTTTTACATGAGCCAACCCGCTTCCTGCTTTTGCAGTTACTCACAGCCCAGATGGCACTGATCCCCTGGCCGCTCTCTCATTTCTCCTACTCTCTTTTATTTTATTTATTTATTTTTGTCTTTTTCCGTGTCCAGCAATGGATCGCAACCCTCAGTGTTGCCCCCGTACCGAACCGGGGACCGGCAACGGGATTGCAACCCTCGGTGTTGCTCCCGCGCCTCCCTCAGCCAGTGAGCGGGAACTGGTCTGTATGTGGGATCCGAACCCTCGGGCGGGAGCGCCGCCGCACTTCCCAAGCAGCGCACTTATACAGTGCACCACAGGGCCGGCCCTCTCCTACTCTCTTTTAAATATCCAGTCACTTTTGTACAAATTGAAGTTGAGTTTTCTTTACTATTTTTCCTACTACAACAGTTTATTACTGATGA